ATGGCCCCTTCTAAGTAAACGTTTGGGCTTGTGAGCGTAACATAAACCACCTTTAAACAAATATGTAACTGTGTACAGTAATTGTGTACTGTGCCATTTAATTATGTTTCACTAAACAAAGTTCGGGAGGAGCACGTTCAAATAATCAATCCAATTAACTTGTCATCAACAATCATCATGACTATCCCATCAGCATGAGAGCAAGCATATATATAGGCACTCAGTCGACTCACCTACGTTCCTTGACAGTTTTTCAGCATCCCTCCACCACCCCTCCACCTCACTCTCGGCTTGTTCCTTCCACAGCCAGGAATACGGGGGGAGTACTCTGGGTTCGGGCCAAATACCGAGCCCGGAGCCCTCTCCTCGGACAGCACGCCAAATATGCATACCATTTATTCTATCTGACTTATTTGTAAGTGTGAACTCGTAAAATCCAGAAGCTTCATAAACTAAATTACTTTTACTGTAAACTAACTGTCGTAGTACTGAGAATGTTATAAACATCACCAAAAATAACCACTTTTAGTGTGGTTTTATTTATCGGTGAGGTCAGACCAAAATAACTTTGTATTAAACATAAAAATAGGAAACTATGTACATTAATGCAATAAAAACAACATTTTACACCCAACATTTATGCTATTTAAAAAGAGTTTCAAGCCACTCCCATTAAAGGGACAGTTGATCCCAAAATTAAAATTTGTCATCATTTACTCGGCCTCATGTTGTTCCATGTTGTTTCTTCAAAAGACGATATTTTAAAGAATGTTGGTAATCAAACAGTTGACGGCACAAACTGACATCCACAGTAGGAAAAAAATACTATGGAAGTCAATGGGTGCCGTCAACTGTCTGGTTACCAGTATTCTTCAAAATATCATTTTTTGTGTTCAACAGAAAAAAGAAACTCATACAGGTTTGGAAATACATGAGGGTAAATTATGACAAAATTTTAATTTTGGGGTGTACTATCCCTTTAATGTGTTTGCTGTAACAATGGTAAATCTAAAAGTATTTGGACACCTATGCAATATTTAGAATAACTATATATCACAGAATATCAACCCGTATTTTAAAGAAAGATAGCTCAAGCGAAATATTTCACTGAAATAAATTTAAGTAATATAAATATGTCTCTCAACCAGCAGATGTCGCTACTGCCACAATATTTAACACGACTAGACATGATCTATCAATCTCAGATAATTGGAGATTTATAGAAAGAAATGTGTACAGGTTTGGAACAATTTGAGGGTGAGTAAATGATGACAACATTTTCATTTTTGGGTGAACTATCGCTTTAAGAAATACATTTATGCCTAACTCTTAATTACTGATGTAATGATGTTGTTTAAATGGTTTGTACTTTCTGGCTTACATATTGTATTTTGAAGGTTTCAAATGGGCATGTTAAGAGAAAGGTCACCCTTTTATGGCCTTTGCATCTTCATTTATGCCTAAAATACATTTTGTGGTTGTTTTAATCAGTAGCTTAGTGTCAGAGGATAATTACAAAAATCTCAAATGTCTGTATTTACCATTTGCACAAAACTGTAGTGTTTTAAAGGTTACAAACAAGGCCTCATTTGGCCGTAATACTTCAGAGCTGTTATACAGCACCATAAAAATGGCATTTACCAAATCACTCCAACAAGACATAAAAACTGAAGAAAATTACCTGCAGTGCACTTTTTGTTGCTTGCTTCATTTATGCTCAAATCACTTTTGAAGATCTCTATTGTTTCTGTAACAGACTAAGACTGTGTCTGTGTTGTCACATACATACCTTGAGTATCTCAGAAAAATGACAAAAATATTGGCTCATTATCTGCAATGTCACCATAAGAGCCAAATCTCCATTATCTGGTTTATTCGACACAGGTAAACGATTCCCGCGTGTACAACATCTGATTATCTCCACTGTCTAATTACAGCTGAGCTGTGCACACAGCAAGATGAAGAACAGGAGAGTATTACGCATTCTGCCACATCCATCCTATGAATAATCCAGTGGAGTCCCAGCAGTCAATGCAGTGCTTCTAATTTGGTTCCTGATTTAAAACGTTTAAGCCAAATTCTCCTTGCCCTGAAGAAATGGAGATCAGCTCTCAGGAAGACACATCCAGATGACTCAAACTCAGATTGGATATAAACATGAAGAACATTGTCTCTCCGAGTAAACAAAACATTCCCAGCATAATCTTATTGTCGTGAGGGAAGCCTTTGCTTGGCGTAATTTGTCCGAGGGCTTCTGTGATAATGGGCCAATTAGAAAAGGTACGGAAACATGGATATTTTTCTTCCTCATTTCACAATGTGTCATTCTCAGTCAATGGAGGCCATTATTTCCTCTTGATGGACATGCTAACAAGAAGCCGTGTTTGCCACTAGACTACTGAAAACCCAATGTGTAAATCTGCATTTGCACCCTGAAATAATCTACACTGATAGAAATGTGTTAAAGCTACGGGATTTTTTTTTTGTAGCCACATTTTACAGTTATTTTTAAAGCAAGTTAAATGCCCAGAGGTCACAAAACTAATCTATCTTGTGCCTGTTTCTCCTCACTCCACACACTCTCTTCTTTCACTCTCTACTTTTCTACCAGTAAATGTGACTCCAGGTTGTCCTAATCTTCCTTTCTGAAAGACAGAGCTCTTTTTCCTGAGAGCAACTATAACATGCCGTGCCACATCTTTCCATCGCTATGGTAACGGCACTGAGGTGTACATGAAAAGAAGTCAAACCAATGTGCTGTAACACAGGAGCATTAGATCAGGGCTAGGTCAGAATGGCCCGCTATTGGCAATCCATTCACCCACTAAAGCTGTCCTGACGAACAATGACACTCACAGTACACTATGTGAAGTACCTGAGCTTCGCCAGTCGTATCTCTGAATAAGTCACATTTCTGAGCTGGAAATGTTGCGGCTTGCATCTTTGGCAAGTGAACTTCTCAAATTAGTCGATGGAAGGATCATTGACATATAAGAGTGTTCACGATACAGAAAAGGAAAAAGCTTTTAAAAATCTATGCTTGTTCTATTCATTTTAGTTTTCAAATGGTTTTGAAAATATTTGATTGCATTTTCAAGAAAAGTAGCTCAATCATTATTTGCAAGAGCTATTTTTAAAGGTAAAAAATGTTTTCACAAATATCATGAATTATTATCATTAGGTTTTTGGTCTTTTTGGAAATATTAAGTCACATGACATTTTACAACATAACCTTGCCTTGTCATAAAAGTCTTAAATTATTAGATTATAGTTCAATATTGCTTTTTTCCTTCATTATGATATCAGGACAGTTGTAGCTCCCTGACATTTTGACCTTATAAAACTCATCCAGAACTTAAAAACATGCTTGTCATAAAGAGGTCTGTTCAAGTCATTGCATATATGAATTATATATTTAATATATTTTCGAATAAATGAACAGATTAAAAAAAAAAAGTATCATATCATAGGCCCAGAGATCCATTTTTAATGCATGGATTTTTTAAAAAGGTAAGCTGTCAAATGTCTTATCCTGTTTCTTATCCCATTTCTTAGCATAGGTGTAGTTTTGAATGTCAATTTCTATATAGACATAAACCTTGGCTAAGAAAAGAGGAGAACAGTCATCACAAATCTTATGTAAGCAAGGCCCATGAGAAATCAGATATCGTAAGAGACTTGTATACTGCACCGTCTGAGTGATTGTCCGCTCCTGATGAATTTAGATCTGATTACTGACTTTGTCTATTAACGTAATGGCAGTCAGATAGCCATCAAATTCCTTTGCAAGACTCCTGAGACCGCTGATTCATTGTCGTGGACTGAAGATTCATCAACAGAACAGAAGACACTGCAGTAAGTTCAGTCTAGAGGAATGCACAATATCTTTATTGGCATCAAAGCATCCACACCCACTGATCGAAAATGCAAGTACTGTATATCAAGACAGAAACTCATTCACATTGAAATGCAACAGCAATCAGAACAAGAACATTAACATATATGTCTTGTTTTATAGACTTTGCGGTTAATAAAGCCTCATGCATTTTAAAATAACAGACGATGAAGAAGAGAACACATAAGAAAGCAGGGAAATTAAGTGTTGATTGTATTTCAATCACCTTGTGATCATAATAAAGGTCACTGAATAGACAACATGACCCTGTTAGTGAGGAGAGAAATTGTGTGCAAACTGAAACCAGGTTAATGTCACGACTTCATGCAGTTCATAAATACAGTGCAAACATTAAAGAGCCATATAAATGTGGAATCACAATGGTGCAAACACCAAACCAACGACCACTGGCATGACATTATTCCGGGGATAAGAAATCCAGAAACCTGACAAACAGCAATCTAACATCTATACTGACAAATGAAAACAGAAATCTCTGTTATACAGTGTAAATTACAAACACCTGCATCACCTACTCATCAGGACAGGTACACTTAAAAGTCGACATGAAATCAAAACGGACCCCATTCACTTTCTTAAAGCACGTCCTCTTATCGTGGAAGATTCATCTGTGAATGTTATTCCAAAGATAGTCACAAATATAAATTATATTATGAAGATATTCATAAGGATACTTGATGGAAATGTGATAACTTGGCCTGTTTCTGAAGCAGCATTGCCATTTCGGTGGATGGTGTAAACCAATGGCCATTTACCAAACCATTTTAGCAACTTTGTATTCATAATGGTTCCATTATGTAAAATATGTCACATTATGGAAGTAAAATAGGTTTCAAACGACAATTTATGTTAACTTTATAACACTATAAAACGCTCTGATGGAGCATTTGATGAATAGGAATAATTTTTTGAGGTTGTGGAAAGAGTTTCATGTTTCACGAAGCAGAAACACTATTTAGATGGACCGTCGGAGTAAAAACTTTTGGTCGTAGTGACATTGGTCGCAGCAAGAACTATTGCACTGAGTTTTACATTTGGGTGTAACGACCTTTGTTCAGTAAACTGTGATATTTCGGTAACATTTACAGAGAGGTGAAGTCGAAAAACCATTCAGTACATCTGAGGATCCCTTTCATTCATTTTTAAAACATATTAGTATTATGGACAAACAAGCCTTTAGTTATTTATCTAATCAGAAATAAAGGATGTACTTTTAATATATCCGTTAAACTAATCTCTTCCTTCCTCTCTGGTGCTCAATGTTTGAACTTTGCCCTTAGAAATGGGTCCCCCCCTGTAGTAGGGGATTACAAAGAGGCAGATGGGGTTACTGATTGGTGTAGGAGACGGGCCCACTTGAAGCATAATTTCCCACCTGGCTGTACTCTGATTGGGCGAAATCCCCCGTTCCAGTAAAAGCAGCTCCTGATTGATCAAAGCTTCCCTGGTTGTAGACCTGCTGGTTGAAGGCCGTGGCTTGTTTTTCTGAGGACGAGGCAGGGTACCTTGCTGTGCCTCCCTTGTGCCATCCAGTCTCTTTAAACACAAACCAGATGTTTCCAGCCCACAGTACGAAGTTCAAATAGCCGAATACCTGTGGAAAAAATGCCTTGATGAATACATTACAAGAGATGAATATTTATTTTTTAAAGTGTTTTAAATAAAATTGTTGAACTTCAGTAAATTATATTTAATTTAAAATAAAATTATTTTTATTTAATATATAATATATATTTCAATACACACACACACACACACACACACACATACAGTATAATATGGTCATGCTTTGATCCTCATGAAACATTTCTTATTTTTATAATGTTGAAAACAGTTGTGCTGCTTAATATTTTTGTGGAAACCATGATATGGACTGCATTTACTTGAAACAATGTAAAAGTCTTTGGGTTAGGTGTACACACAGTGATATATGATTATTTTTTTCTTATCAATATTAAGTGTTGTAAATGAAAGTCTAGACACCCAACAGATATGTGTGGCTATAGAGTGTCAAAATCTTAGTGTCTCATGCCTTACCACAGATGTGTTCAGGCCAGACCATCTGGGTCCGTACACTGAGCTGCACTTGTTTGTCTGCACCTTACATGCAGACATGAGCAGAACCACCTCATCTGGATCAGTTGCAGTCTTCACATCTGAAAGCCCTTTTGCCCATGCAGATGAACTCACTAACCACACAAATGAGAACACCACCGTCACTATGAAGTCCTGGGGAGCATGAAGAAAGTGTGTTACATGTATTATTTGTCAAATTCTGTTGCTAATTTGAAGAACTATTTTAACATTAATAAAATTACAAACTGCAGCTTTAAACTCAATTACAAGGATTTGCATGCAAGAATGCATTACTATATTAGCCTGGTTAAAACCAGACCATTCTCAGTTGTAACTGAGTTATGGCAGAGAATGTCTAATTGAAGAGAATTGGCACTGTCTGGTTACTTCCGATTTCTGGACTGGCTGCAGTAACACGTCTCTGTCCATGCGGGGGCGCTCACAGGCGAGTGCAGAATGAATGGGAGTCTATGGGGTTTCACCCCCAGAAATCCACTTTTCTCAGGATGTATTTTTTTGTCAAGTAATTTGAAAGTTGCATTCAAAAGGGAGGGCTAAGATAATACACTCAGCTGAAAATTGCATTTTTAAGTTCACTTATCTGTTCTAAAAATCTGTTAAAAAATGTGATGACGTCACATAATAGCAGAAGCGTGTTCCGGCCAACAACGGCCTAACCTGTAAGAAATCGAAAGGACATAAGTACTCGTTCATTCGACTTTTGGCCTATAATCTATATTGAACTTGCGGAATCAACAATAAAATCTATGTTGATTCAACGACAAGCAGGAGAAAGAGATACATTTAGCCATTTAGCTCCATAGACTCCCATTCATTCTGCACTCGCCCGCGATCACCTCCAGTGGAATTCTAATGGAACTGCAACCAATATGATACACAATGGGGCTAATAGGAAGTGCCAAGGCTCTCCGTTAGACGGGCTCTGGTTATGGTCTGGCAAAGCGTCAAAGACAAATCATTTCCAGAGGGGCGTCACCAACGGACGTCGCAGATAGACCTAAAACCAATCAGAGCGATGAAGGAGATGACGTATGCAGAGCGACGGAGAAACATCTCTGTTCTTTGCTAGGTTTTTAACAAAAAGGAAACGTTTAAATTGCTTAAAACAGACGCGATAGCTGATTCGAACGAGTGATGTTCGACGGCGGCATCCATCTTTGTAATGTAGGCTACAAAATCTGCTTCAATATCCCAGCGCTGTCGTCATCGTGTAAAGCCCGCCCCAACGTTTCTGATTGGTGCCTCGATTTCGACGGATTGGAAATGGGCTTGAATGAGCTCTTTGCCAGACTAACTTTCAGAGCAAATCTAAATTTGCCGGAAGTTGTCTGGGTTTTCCCAGGCTATTACTATATGCTAAGTAGGACTAAATTGAATGTGGGTGTTTTACAATAAATAGCAGCTCATATCTTGTATGTCAGTCTTCTCTAATAGCAAGTCCACAAAGGGTTGAATGTTTAGCTTGTCTAAAATAACACCAGGGCTCACAATGAGAGGTCCGCGGTTGTTTTCGCGGTACTTGTTCTGGAAAAAGATGTAGACCACTGTGGCAAGCAGGGAGTAGAGAAAGGAAAAGACAGCAATGGTGACGAAGAACTCTGCGGAGGAAGAAAAATCTCCAATCAGGTAAAGCCGCTCTTGCCTTCTTCCCTCACACATCGGCACGTCAAAATCCACCCGGTTCAACCTGTTTAATGTAAGCCACAAAAACATCATGCTTTTTTATACAGTTTGCAGTCAGGTATTCTTCAGTGTCAACACAAGGCTAGAATAAAATAATGTCCCTTTTATGCTTTTTTATATGTTTCCTTTCATGTGTGTAATATAAATGTATGTGAAAGGTCTGTAAAGATTCAAAGATCGAAGTGCACGATAAATGGAGTTGTTGTCTTCCAAAAGAAAGAACCGATTCGGAACTGCCTGGAACGAGTTCCAGCCTTACTTCCTGTGTAACAGAGACCTAGTGAGAGCTGTGCAGGTAAACCTCACTCCCCTTGCCTCAAGTGGCACACTAGCGACTGACGCTAGAGGCTATGGTCTTTAGCGTACTTGTTAGCGTGTCCGCCTCCCATGCTAAAAATGCCGGTTCGAATCCTGCTCAGAGTGGTGCGAGTAGTACTGGAGGAGTTACACCTGCTCAAACCAATGTAGGCTTGTAATAAATTTGCATATTGCCCACGTATGTACCCCTTAAGGGCCAAGAGGCGCACTAGCGACTGACGCTACAGAGGCACACTAGCGACTGATGCTATCATTGGCTGCCCAAGAACAATGTCTACTTTGACCCACCCTCATACACTGCAGTTGTAGCTGAGACCTGGAAGTGTTTGGTTTGTGTTGTCAGCTTGTCAAGAAAGACGCTGTTCTCTTACGAGAGGTTCTCTCGTATTGCGTAAGCTAGCTTACGCTACGGAAAGATTAATCTTTTCTGAAATATTGAAGCCAAAAATTATCCTTAAAGCTGCAGTCCGCATTTTTTCCTTTGTCGCCATCTCTGTTCGAAATCTGCAATTGCAGTCATTCGCGGAATTATCAACTTTACATGAGTTGTAGTTCGACACGGCACAGCGCGGATGAACACATTGAGGAGAGTGTGCAGCTGTCAATCACCGCGCTGGTGTCGATACTGGCATTCAGAATCACAGATTTTTCTTTTTGGAAGTGTGACTAACATAATAATTTTCACCGGAAAATGTCATCTGAACAAGTAAGTAACATCCACTTTTGTTCTGGTTATGACATTGCAGTAAATCGCGCTGATTAAACGCGTATCATCACACAAAACCGTGCAAATTATACTTTGTTCTCAACTTGTTAATGTTAACAACGTCAGCATTGCGTGACTACATGTAATGTCCTTCCGATATGTATCCTTGTTTTCGCATGGGTCCGGTTGCAGTCTCTTATTTTCTGTAAGTTAGCCACTCCGAACGAAGTCTTTTGCATTTTACAACGGGTGAATCTGTTGTCACTGGTGATTGTCGTTTGAACCTTTCTGGATCCGCCATCAAATTGATAAGTTTAATTGTATCAAGTCAAGTGCTGTGAGAAAAGGCTATAAATCTCCACCTCCAACATCCTCACACACAATATAGCCGACTAGCCGAGACTCCTTCTTTATGTGTACAGATGTGACAGATATGACACAAAGACATGCTCGAATCTCCCGCGGAAATCCACCAGTACCACTGGAGTTAAAAACATTATTACAAGCTTACCGCTTTGAATCGAGCTAAGGCAAGCAGATAGCGTTGAACACTGGCTGGTTATGTATTTTCTCAAATATGTATTTCGGATCATTTTTAACCCAAAAAAAGCTACGGACTGCAGCTTTAATTTTGTATCCATTGTCAACGCAGTGCAGCAGCTGCAGACCTTGAGCGGGCTAGCTAGCGAGCTCATTGGTCGCTCTGCGGCAACTGCTGCAGCCTATGGACGGACAGAATGAACTCGCGTCCAATGAGAGGCGCTCGCGCCTTCATCACGTCACAGCCCGCCAAACTGGGCGTGGCTAGAGTGTATATTAGCGAGGTCCAAAGGCTGCATCCCTGGTTTTCATCTCTTCAGCGAAGCTCTTCGCATCTGATTCACAGAAGCCGCGTCGCCGTCTGAGGGGCATTTTAGCGAGCTTGGACAGCGCTTGAAGAAGCCGGCCGCCTTCGCCACCTTCAGCCATCCGGCAAGCTACGCCATCCGGTGACGTATCCTTTTTTAGAGCTAAGCTAGTTCCTCAGGGAACTTCACAAAAGAGCACGAGCGTCTTTATAAAGATGCCTCGCACCACCTGCGGCTCATGCCGCGCCCCTCTCAGTGCCGGAGACCGCCATCTCATCTGCGTTCTCTGCCTGGGACTGGAGCACGCAGAGCTCGCTCTCGCTGACGGCGGATGTGACCTCTGCGAGGAGCTTCCGATGTCGACCCTGCGGGCTCGACTCGAAGCATCTAAAGTCGAAGCCGCCGCGCCGCCTTTCGTCTCGCCGCGCAAGAAAAAGTGCCGCTCCCAAAGGCCGCCGGAACCGATGCTAGAAGCGACCGTCTCGCCGGAGCCTCTCCCTTGAGCCTCGCCTTCACCCCCCCCCGCCCTCCCCGTACGCGCAGTTGCCGCCGAGCGGCCGCACTGCTGCCATCTCGGACGACGAGGCGGAGGTAAAAGACTGCTGTTCCGTCTTGGCTTCGGACAGCGAGGAGTGGTCAGGCTCTCTCGCCTCCTCCTCGGCCCGCGAATCCAGCAGGACCCGCGCCGGAGTCGAAGAGGAATTAATGCGCCTCCTCACACAGGCCGTCGACCGCCTCGGGCTCGAGTGGTCACCGCCCCCTGAGCAGGCCCCCAACAGACTCGACGGCTGTTTTCTACAGAGCCGTCGCCGCGCGGCGCCCGCGGCCCGGGCCGCCCCCTTCTTGCCGGAACTCCACGCCGAGCTCACTAAGTCGTGGAGCGCGCCTCTCTCGGCCAGGACCCGCTCCCATGTCTCCACCTCTCTCTCTTCGGTGGATGGCGCCGCCGAGAAGGGCTATTCTTCCATCCCCCCGGTCGAGGATTCGGTCGCAGCGCACCTTTGCCCGCCCTCCGCGAGATGGCGGTCTAAGCCCACGCTCCCGTCTAAGGCCTGCAGAACCACTTCCGCTTGTGTTGGCCGCGCTTATGCCGCCGCCGGCCAAGCCGCATCCGCTCTGCATTCCATGGCCGTCCTGCAAATCCTCCAAGCGGATCTGCTTCGGGAGTGGGATGAGAAAGACAGGCACCCAGAGGCTGTATCAGACTTAAGGAGCGCGACGGACCTCTCTCTTCGCGCCACAAAAGCTGCAGCCCAAGCCCTGGGAAAGTGCATGGCCTCGCTAACGGTAACCGAGAGACATTTATGGCTAACGCTTGCCGACATGGGAGAAACTGAACGCGCCACGTTCCTCAACGCGCCGCTCTCTCCTTCCGGTCTCTTCGGGCCTGCGGTGAGTGGCATTATTGACCGTTTCTCGAAAGTCCAGAAAGCCACCCAAGCCATGAACCTTTTCCTGCCTCGTCGCGCTAGCTCCTCTGCAGGCCGCCCACGTGACCAGCCTCCTGCACGAGACTCTTCACAGCGCCCAGCTCAGCACAGCCAGACCTCTCAGCGTCGCCAGGGCGGCCGCCCTAGATCGCGCTCAGACAGCTGCGCAGACCGCCGCCCCCCCGCGGGCCTCGGCCTCGGATCACGCTGAAACCTGAGAAACCGAAGTCCTCCTAGCTGCGCTGAGAAAACGACGGCTCAGTCCCACCGTGGCCGGACCGCCGTCAAAGCTTCGCCCCCTGTCAGTCCCCTTCTCTCAGGCTACTGCAGTGGTGTATACAGCAGCCAACAAGCCGGTGGTGCTACCCGCTTGCCTGCACCCAAACGCCGTTTTTACGGCGACCCAGAGAAATCTCTTAAAGACCAAACGTGCCTTATGTGTAGAAAATGTGCCCACAACCCAGTGTTCACCCCTACACACAAGCATTACACTACCCGTGTCCCTATCAGAGCCCACTCACATAAAGCGGGTACAGCCCGCTCGAGTGTTAGTCAATGGCCGTGTGACAGAGCGGGCAGAGAGGGGGCGCGCGCACGGGCTCGTGGGCGCGCCCCCTCTCTGCCCGCTCTGTCACACGGCCAGCCATCACCTCTCTGTATATAAGTCCCGTGCCCGTGACTATGCTCGCGCATCACTTAACAGATGTGACTCTTTCCCCATTCACCTCAATCGGGAAGTCACTCACAGACAAGCCTGTCCCTGCTGTTTGCGAGCCGTCATGCATAAGCACAGTAAGCGCGCTCACACATTCTGTTCAGCTCGCTGTGTGCGGCAATCAGGGCGATTTGGCCATTCACCCTCTAGCGTTACGCTTCAAAGCGTGGGAAGCTATCCCAGGGATACCCAAATGGGTGTTAAGCACGATAAAACAAGGTTATTTGCTACAATTCGATCGCCGCCCTCCCCGCTTCCGAGCGCGGCTCGAAACGACTGTGAACACGGCAGCAGCCTGCATGCTTCGTTCAGAAATAGCAAACCTTCTGTGCAAAAGGGCCATAGAGAGAGTGCCGCCTTCTCTGAGCGAGTCGGGGTTTTACAGCCGTTATTTTCTTGTTCCCAAGAAAGACGGCGGCCTCAGAACGATTTTGGATCTCAGATTTTTGAACAGGGTGCTCGTGAAAAGACCGTTCAAAATGCTTACAGTCAGGAAACTCCTCGCGCACGTGCGCCAGGGGGACTGGTTTATATCTCTCGATCTGAAAGATGCCTATTTTCAGATTCAGATAAATCCCCGTCACAGGCCATTCTTGAGATTCGCCTTCGACGGTCAGGTTTATCAATACACCGTCCTTCCGTTCGACCTGTCCCTAGCACCCCGTATTTTTACGAAGTGCATGGACGCGGCACTCGCACCCCTGCGGAGCCAGGGCTTGCGAATACTGAACTATTTGGACGATTGGCTGATTTTGGCACAATCACAGACGGAGCTACTGTCTCACAGGACAGTTCTCCTCAGTCATCTGAACAGCTTGGGTCTCACAATCAATTGGACCAAGAGCTCACTTCAGCCCAGTCGAGCGATTTCCTTCCTTGGAATAGAGCTAGACTCTGTGGCTATGACGGCTCGCTTATCAACACAGCGCGCGCGCCATGTTCAGCGACTAGCCGCATCTTTTCAGATGAACAACCTCAGCCTCAGCAGTACTCCAGCTGGGTTTACTGCGCATGCGCCCGCTTCAACATTGGCTAAACACCCGCGCGTTTCGCCGGGCTTGGGCCACAGGCCGCCAGCCGATCAGAGTGACTCAGACCTGTATCTCAGCTCTGCAGCCCTGGACAGTGGCCGAATGGTACCAGCGGGGAGTGATGATGGGAGCTGTATCTCGCCGAAAAGTCATCTCGACAGACGCGTCCAACACGGGTTGGGGCGCGGTCTGCGAAGGCTCACCGGTGTTTGGCCTATGGTCAGTACAGGAAAAGCTCCTTCACATAAATTGTCTGGAAATGATAGCGGTCGAGTACGCGCTCGTGCGCTTCCTCCCGGTCATTCAGGGTCACCACGTCCTGGTCCGTTCGGACAACAGATCTGTGGTATCCTATCTAAACCGTCAAGGCGGCGTCAGGTCCAGGAACCTCTTCCACCTGACAGAACGCATACTGAGTTGGTCCCAGTGCCATCTGCGCTCGCTGAGAGCGACGCATGTGCCAGGCCACCTGAACGACGGCCCAGACAGACTGTCCAGAGACAATATTCCCCCAGGGGAATGGTCCCTGCACGCTCTAACAGTTCAGATGCTGTGGCGCCTATTCGGCAGAGCAGAGATAGACCTCTTTGCGTCAGAGGAGAACTCTCACTGCCCAGTATTTTTCTCAAAAAGCGCAGTATTTTTCAACCGCCCGCTTTACGCCTTCCCTCCCATCTCGCTATTACCACAGGTAATACAGAGGATCAGGGAAACGCGCTGCTCGGTGCTCCTCATAGCCCCACGCTGGGAGAATCAGACATGGTTTCCGGAGCTTACGCAGCTGTCACTGACAGCCCCGTGGCCCATTCCAGTGAGATCAGTTCTCCTCTCTCAAGCTCGCGGCACGATCTGGGATCCCCACCCAGAGCGCTGGGCGCTGCACGCGTGGGTGATCAACGACTACCCGTCGCTTTGCCAGAGGGCGTTATGAACACTATCATACACGCTAGAGCTCCCTCCACGAGAAGACTCTACGCGTCCAAATGGTCTGTGTTTTTAAAATGGTGCACCGACAGAGATCTGGATCCATGGACATGTGGGGTTTCGCCGCTGCTCGTGTTTTTACAAGAGCTATTGGATAAGGGCAGGTCCCCATCCACGCTCAAAGTATACGTGGCGGCCGTGGCGGCCGTCGCGGCGTTCGCTGAACCCCTGCACAGCCGGTCACTGGGAAAAAACGAGCTGGTCATCCGTTTCCTCAGGGGAGCTAGAAGGATGAACCCCCCGCGCCCCCCATCGGTTCCTATCTGGGATCTTTCTATAGTTCTCGAAGCTATGAAAGCCCCTCCTTTCGAACCGCTTCAATCCGTGGATGTGAAATACCTTTCACTCAAAACCATTTTTCTGACTGCCTTGTCATCAGTTAAACGTGTGGGAGACCTTCATGCGCTGTCTGTCAGCACTGCGTGTCTTGAGTTTGGACCAAATGACTCCAAGGTCATTTTAAAACCTAGACACGGCTATGTCCCCAAGGTGATCGGTACCCCGTTCAGAGCGCAGATCATTTCCCTATCGGCTCTGCCAACATCCGATAGCGAATGTGACGCCAATCTCCTCTGCCCTGTGAGAGCACTGAGATTGTATACTGCGCGCTCTGCCTCTTTCAGACGCACTGAGCAGCTTTTCGTTTCGTTCGGAGGGCGCGCCAAAGGTCTCGCCGCCTCGAAACAGACACTGTCTAGATGGATAGTGGACGCTATTGCTGCTGCGTACGCGTCAAAAGACCTGCCATGCCCGTTAGGCATTAGGGCTCACTCCACTAGAGGCATGGCCTCCTCATGGGCGTGGTCCAGCGGGATTTCCATTCACGACATATGTGTGGCAGCGGGCTGGGCTTCCCCTTCCACCTTTGTCAGATTTTACAATCTGGAAGTACCCGCCCTGCAGGCGAAATTACTAGCGGTCTAATACGCTACAACTCTCCTGGTGAGCTGCACTGATGGGAAACTCTCCACAGACCGACACTGCCGCTCTGTCTCTTTCCCACTATGTGCTTATGTATTACATATACACTGGCCCGCACTCTTGCTGACCAAAATGTTTTCCCCACTCATAGGGCTCCCCGGGGTTTCCCCCCCTGGGCTCATGCTGTGGATGCTTGGCGCGCACGGCGTTGACAATGGGTTCCCGTAGCATAAGCTAGCTTACGCAATACGAGAGAACCTCTCGTAAGAGAACGAATCGGTTACCTAACGTAACCTCGGTCCTCTCTAGATGAGGGAACGAGTATTGCGTAGCCTGCCGTGCTCGTGCCACGAGCGATTTTTCGCTTCATTCTATGAAAACCAGGGATGCAGCCTTCGGACCTCGCTAATATACACTCTAGCCACGCCCAGTTTGGCGGGCTGTGACGTGATGAAGGCGCGAGCGCCTCTCATTGGACGCGAGTTCATTCTGTCCGTCCAGAGGCTGCAGCAGTTGCCGCAGAGCGACCAATGAGCTCGCTAGCTAGCCCGCTCAAGGTCTGCAGCTGCTGCACTGCGTTGACAATGGATACAAAATTAAGGATAATTTTTGGCTTCAATATTTCAGAAAAGATGAATCTTTCCGTAGCGTAAGCTAGCTTACGCAATACTCGTTCCCTCATCTAGAGAGAACCGAGGTTACGTTAGGTAACCGATTCGTTTTCTGTGCTGCGAAAGCAAATCCACATTGCATTCACTTTGAAAGGATTGTTACACCATTGTTACTGTTCATATCACTGTGTAAACAAGTGCTGAGGAAACCCCCGGAGCTGAAATTCAAATATGGTAATGCCATTTCTTTTCCGAAACACCTTGTAAGCGGTAGACCAATCACAACCGATTTGACTATCTGACCAATCAGAGCAGAGTAGGCTCTTGAAAAGGTGGGGTTTAGAAAGACCTGATTCAGACACTGTGAGAAAAGAGGCGATGCTGCAATGTTTATTATAAGAAAATTGAATTGTTTTTGACTTTGGATGCATATAAACATTATAGGAAACCTCCAGAAAATTAGGCACTTTAAGTTGCTGTCACAAGGTTACTTTAGTTCCTGTCTATTTCTGCCGTATCCTCCTTAGATTACTATGAACTTGTCAACTCTAGTGAATACAGCAGGACCTGAGGGCTACTTCAAAGCATTGCATTACTGTGGGCATCTTGTGTGTGTTCTTGACCTTTCAGGGCAAAAAACCCCAAAAAACAACAACAACTTGGACGCATAATGAGGCTACAGAAGAATACAAGTCTGTCGAAAACATTTTCAGCCTACACAGAATTATAGTGGTGATTCAATACAGAACTCTATTGTCTTCTGTTCTTTAAATTGAAATGGTATGATTTCGTGTAACTTTATTACCACAATGGATAACAATGAAGACAGACCTGATGCATGATTCTAGCGTATGTGTCAGCCAACTCATTTATTGAGTACAAATGGGTGAGTGTGTTTCTGTCTCTCAGAAATAATTTCTCATCTCTGAAAGTGCTGACATTTTTTTTTATATATTTAAGACAGAGCTGTAAATACTGAGATACTTGAAATGGAAGATATGGCTTGGTTTTCAAAAAATTTAATTTAACCATGAATTTATTCACACGCAGACAAACAGGCCTTTGGAAATATGGTAAATTTATTAATCTTTCAATTGGTAATCAGTCATATACTGTATTTGGGCATGAAAATACTGAATATACCACTTTGATTCACTGATTCAAACTGAATTAGTATTTTAATTTGATATCTCCATTGTATACTGTATACAAAATATCACAGAATGAAAAAAATAAAAAAAATAACATTTTAAACTTTTAAAAATGAAGGACCATGTGACACTGAAGACTGAATTAATATCTGCAGAAAATCCAGGTTTGCCATCACAGGAATAAATTACATTTTTAAATATATTACAATAGAAAACTGAAAACTTTTAAATTGAAACAATATTTCACAATGCTTTTACTGTATGCCTGATCAAATAAATTCAGCCTTGGTAAGCAGATAAAGAAAAAAAAATCGTAATTATTCCAAACTTTTGACCGCCAGTGTATATAAGCGATTTTATTAGCACTTATATGATGTGTAAATCATTCATTTTGACATGTGTAATGTGAAGAAAACAATATCTGATTATACTGAGGATCTATAAACATCAGCCCAAATAGCACAATCATTTAATTTTACAAATTAGCTCTGATGCTGGGAGTTGTGTTTCCGTTCAAAACACTGAAGCCAGCTGTGCTCACCGAGAAACAAATCTTGTAACTGGCAGCACACAGAGAATATAAAGGTAAAACCATTAGCACATAATCAAATGCTCCTGTGTATTAGAGTATTGAATCAAAGTGAGGTAATTATCTCTCTCTATTGCTCTGCAGAGTATACGCAGGGGTGCTTTAAACTAGCCTTACCTGAACGGGTAAGCAAAGTTGATGCCAATACTGAGGTTGCTGTCGGACTTGTTGATGCAGTCCACACTAACCCGCAGTTGCCCAGAGTAACCTCCACATGTTGCAAATGCAAAGATGGCAAAAAGCTGAGGAGATATAACATGCAGAACAGTTCAAGTCACCATGAAATCAAAATGAACCATTCTTAATTTTGTGTGTGTGTGAGTGAGTGTGGAATGGATTATAGCAATATTTATTAGAAATTATATATACACACATCATTAATGTCTTTTTTAAATTTATGTGCCTTAATCAAAATAACTTCCCCTCCCTTTTGCAGCGACATCTCTTCGCTTATCTGCATGATGTGGGCGATGCAAGGGCGTGAGATCACAGCAATAGCAAACCACAACCATCCAATGATGCAATCAATTCCCAATGGACAAAATCAAGTCCCACCCTATTTTTTCTTGTTCCAGAAGCTGTTTCACTTGGATATGCGTCATTAGGGAAGAAAAGACTCTCACAACTTGCTTTTCATGGTGTCTTTAAATGTAAGAATTATGACTTACTATCATTATTTCCTATCAATTTATGAAAATAAAATCTATTAGTAATAAATATAGAAATTCATGGAAAATTCTAGTTATTAGTCTGCGCATTAGTGGTGCATATCTGCAGGTTACAGTACATCATTTTGCCAGTAGGTGGCGATAAGTGAGTCATTGATTTGTTTATTCTACTGATTTGTTCAAAACCACTAATTCAATCAATTCATCAATCTCTGGTAAAGGATGTCTCAATTTAAAGGATGCTTTGATGACAGCCTTTATTTCACGTTCTTCTGTTTTTTGTTCTTGCGCACAACCTGTCTTTTTGTAGGATGCATCAAGTGTATCCTTTGTGTCCTCCAATCACCCACAATCCTTTGCACACATTTCAATTCACAAAAAAGAATTAGCAGAAAATGAATTAGCACTGAGTTTGTCCAATTTTGCAACATAATGCAAGACAACAACAACAAAAAGATTTTGGAGATAAATGCCTTATTTTCTTTTGTTTTGTTGTAAATTAACTCTTTCCCCACAAGCGTTTTTTTTTTTTAAGTTGCCAACCATCATCAGCGTTTTTCATCTTTTTTTTTTTTTTTTTTTAAATTGTATGGGTCCCAGAATATTTGTTGTATGATTATCTGAACATGCATCTCATATAACAAAAGAAAGAAAACAGAGCCTCTGCTTTTAAAACGAAAATAACAGTTTTATTCTAGCTTCATGCATGCATTCTTTTTTCGTTTGTTTCTGCTCCTTTTTTGCCTGTGTTTTGATCCAGAGATTCAGTACTTGCTCAAGAGATGCGTAACAGCGCCCTCTACCGTATAACAGTGAAAACACAGAAAGCCAGAACATTCTGCCAATGGTGGGGAAGTGTTGTCTCATCATAAATGATGGAATATTCTGTCAATGGCGGGGAAAGAGTTAATCACATAATGTTAAACTTTGCGTAATGTAAACCACAGAGCGACCACAGATGGTTGTCATTGCCTGTACTGGATTAATAGAAAGGCAGTTAATGGTTTTTAATATAAAGTATTTTTATAATTTAAGTATTTTAGTATATTTAGTATTGATTTGTATTTTTGCTTTATGACCGCGGGGAAACATTCATGATGTAGCTATTCACACTTACAAACCGTCTCATTCTAGCATTTAATGCCGAGGAGGACTCTAAACTACAATTCTCTGAAGTAATGGACTAGGAAGCACTCAGCCTCACTGGGATGCAGACTTGAGAAGCACCCTGTATTTGAGTGAGTCATGGAATCATTCAATCAACCAATTTGTTCAAAAACTGATTCATTTGTTAAAGAAACACCACTTCAGCACTTTGCAACATTTTACTTTTTTTATATTTTTTGTTGGGGTACCACAAACAAAGTAACAAGGAAAACTGTGTCTAAAATAAATGTTTAAATAACAAAAATCTAACATCAGGAATCTAATATATCACATCAAAAATGGCTCACTCTGTTGTTAACGGTTTCGAGTTAGAGACATATAGGCACATCTTTTGAGGTTGAGCTTATATACAGGCATAACAAACTCGTGGTATATGACTATAAATCTCATTACAAAAAATGTTCGTAATAACTTGCATCGCCCATGACCTGAAATGACTTTCCTTTTCAGCTGATGTCACCAAGCACTCCCCTTCAATCACCTTTAATGAGACCACTTTTCACCCTATCATTTCCTGATGAATCAATTCAAGTTCCGCCACATTTTTTCCTTTCAAATATCCGATTCACTCTGAAATCCGTTATACATTACAGAAGTTCAATGTTGACTTTATAATTGCGAAAAGTGAAGAGAGATACTGTTTCCACACCAGCTTAAAGCAGCACTAAGTAGGAATTCCGTTTTTGTCAAACAGCGACCCCTAGAGTCGCTGTGGAGCACTTGTACTGTCATGAATAGCACTCACGCAGAGATGGCTCGCACTCACGGCCGGATCCCCTCCCCCTGTACACCGGTACCTGTTCAGTAGGATGGACGCTGTAACGAGTGGAAATAAGGTATGGCCCCTTTAAGAGCTGCGCGCGCCCTGTTTAACTGTCGGCAGTCTGTATTGTATGTGCGCCTCGAACACCACATGTATACGACGCCGGATTATTTCTGTTTGATGCTCATTTTATCAGAATTTTATCAGATCAGTTTTTTGCCGTAAAGCAATTCGTTACCTCGCGAGACCTGATATCACACGATACTTCCTAACACTGAGGCCGCCGGCCCAAAGTTGCAAGGGTGGTTTTGCGGCTCACAGGCACCAGGGGGGTGCGAGACGACCACCATTCAACACGAAATCAGTAATATAAACATTACAATGACTCCAAAGCTGTTCGGTTAAGGTAAAAAAGTTACTTAGTTCACCTTTAAAGGACAGTTTCCACCTAGTAGAGTTAATTGCTCTAATCATTGTTTTATTTAGATACTGGATTAGCTGCAGCAACATGAGACGGTGGCCAATTTCAATTAAGGAAGTGTTAGGAAGTGTTAGGAAGTCACTGTAAACAGGTGATTAATTCTCCTGATTAATTCTCATCCGCAGATTTCAAGCACATTTGCAAAAGGTGTTTGCAAACACTGAGTGAAACTATGATATCATGATCACACACACAAAGAGGTGCTCTCTGTCTCCAATTATCTCGTCTTTAACATTTTTCTCTTTAACACAGTCTCACGGTGTGGGTTTTGTGTTTTGTTCCTCGTTCTTGTCTGTCATGTGTTCCCCTGTCTTTTCTTGTTCAGCTGTTCCCCGTTTTGTTGATTAGTCTCCCCATGTGTTTCTGATTAGCCACGCCCCCTTGTTATCTTGTTTAGCTTGTTTGCCTGTGTATTTATACCCATGTTCTTCAGTTGGTGTTTGTCGGTCGTTGTGTGCTGTAGATGTTCCTTGTTCCTGTCCTAAATTCCTTGTGATGTAATTTTCCCTGGATTACCTGTTTGTTTAATTAAAGTGCTTGCTATTGGATTCACTCTCCGCTTCATCCTTGCTGCATCATAACACACAGTCTCTCCACAGATTTTTCTATTACCTCCGCCTCTTTCCCAATCTTTTTATCTTTATATGTCCATCATCCTTTTTTATTTAGGCTGAGGATCTATTGTGAAGCCTATCTTATTAGGCACAGAGGACAAGCTCTCTGAGAGCAAATCTGACTCGCCTAAAACACATTTCTGCAACACTGATATGAGAATGGGTTCTCTGTAGGTGATCTCACTGAACCCAGGTACAAGTCATTCTGCAGATATACAGCTTGAAAAAAAAAATCAATGATGAGAATATATTCAAAATTCAAGAGAGAGCATAATGTGAAGGACTGAAAGCGTACTGATCGATATAGTGCTCAATATGCAAAATATAAAGAATCCTGTGGCAGAACTATGTTAATGATGCAATTATAGTGGCAGTCAATGTATAAAATTATAATAAAGTAAGTACTGCAATACAAACTTTTTCCCTTAAAAATTAAAAGTGAATTGTGTCATTTCTCTTCCACTACTGACACCAAATGGAATTGCAAAAATATTATCTTTTTTTTCAAACAGGCTCCCCAAATACTCAGCACATCTGCCATTGGTCAGCCGAACAAACAGGCAGTCCTGTCCTAAACTCACATCATTGGTTGTTTCTATGTCAGGCCACGGAGACAAATGTACAGATTTTTTTAAAAGAAATTTACAATGTTAAAAAAAAAATCTATTTCAAATAAATGCTGTTCTTTAGAATGTTGTTCGATACTTAAAAGATTTCTTAAAAATGTATCATGGTTTCCACAAAAATAAGCAGTAGGCCTACTACAGATGTTTTTAACATAGCAACAAATCAGCATTTTAGAATGATTTCTGAAGGATCACGTGACACTGAAGACTCGAGTAATGATGCTGAAAATTCAGTTTTGCATCACTTGAATAAATTCTGAAGATACATATGAGACTTCTTTTAAAAACATTAAAAAATCTAGCGGTAGTGTGTGTGTGTTACACTGTAATTCATTGTATATAAAACATTAATAATATACACTTTATTTAAATATATAGATAGAGATTTTCCACAAAATCAGAACAGAAACTGCTGGAAAAAGGTTCAATTTCTCAGACTTCAGAAGCTCATCTGATTACATTCATCTTGGATCACTTACCTTTTCATATAGTCCTTTGTTAGACTATTTTAATAAATTTACAGTCTAGCTTATTACTTTACAAGTCTACTGAGGATACAGTTTCCAAACAAGATACCTTCAACGATTAATAGTCAGTCACCATGGTAACACATAAGACATATGTACCTCCTCAACAGCTGAACTACAGACATTCTTGTTTCCTAATCCAGTTTCCAGTTTCTTAAACCTCAAAAAAGCTCAAATCGGCACAGATTCATATGGGTCCAAGGACCTCTGACCATACTGTGAAACACTGGAAACCAAATCGCTTTTTTTGCATAGCATTTCATTGATCATGAATAATGAGTCATTCATAAAACAGAAATAGACATCTCACTTATTCAGAATTATGAATGATTCAGTATGGTGAGAGAGCAATTTTTGCACCTAAAAGGTCTCTGAGACGCTGACAAATGGGATGTT